GATGCTTAATAATTACCAATTTCAAAGAAGGAGATCCAAAGCTCAAAAGAGATTAAAGCTAATTTGCATCAAAACCCACCTTCCAATTTCCCCCCAATTTCCCTTTTTCTTATTTATTCCAGGGGCCCTTTGGAATTTCTATGGGGGGGGGAGTGTTCTTTAAAGCTTATTTTATTATGCTATTTTTCTGAGAGTTGGACAGAGGTGCCACCGTTGTTTTTCTATTATATATATATATATCACTCCCAATCTAAACAGGGTGAAGTTTATTTAAATGGTCCAATTGTAGGAGTTAGGAAGGACCACAAGAATCATCTCCTCCAACCTTCTGCGAAATTCAGAAAAACCAGTTAAACCATCCCAACATCCTAAAAACCTTCAGAGAGGATGAATCCATACCTCTACAGTCCCAGAGGTGCTTTTCCAAGAGGCAACAATTTTGCTTCTCATCCAAGAAGCTTCTTCCATCCTTCACTACTGAAAAAGCTTTTTGGATGAGAAGCAAAATATTTTCAACGAAAAAAACCAAAAACAAAGTCCAGTTGCCTTTTGTAAAAGCACCTTTGGGACAACTATGACTTGGATAGTAATAATAATAATAATAATAATAATAATAATAATAATAATAATAATAATAATAATAATAATAATAATAATAATAATAATAATAATAATAAAAAAGTTGGAAGGGACCTTGGAGGTCATCTAGTCCAACCCCCTGCTCAGGCAGGAAACCCTATACCATTTCAGACAAATGGCTGTCCAGTCTCTTCTTAAAAACTTTCAGTGTTGGAGCATTCACCGCTTCTGGAGGCAGGTTGTTCCACTGGTTAATTGTTCTAACTGTCAGGAAGTTTCTCCTTAGTTCCAGGTTGCTTCTCTCCTTGATTAGTTTCCATCTGTTGCTTCTTGTCCTGCCTTCAGGTGCTTTGGAAAATAGCTTGACTCCCTCTTCTTTGTGGCAGCCCCTGAGATATTGGAACACTGCTGTCATGTCCCCCCTCGTCCTTCTCTTCATTAAACTAGACATTCCCAATTCCAGCAGCCGTTCCTCATATGTTTTAGCCTCCAGTCTCCTAATCATCTTTGTTGCTCTTCTCTGTACTCTTTCTAAAGTCTCAACATCTTTTTTACATCGCGGTGATCAAAACTGGATGCCGTATTCCAAGTGTGGCCTTACCAAGGCATTGTAAAGTGGTATTAACACTTCATGTGATCTTGATGATTGAGACTCTCCATAGACACATCATCTCTATAGGTTAACCATTCCACTGATACACAGATATTGCCATCAGGGTGTGTGTGTGTGTGTGTGTGTGTTAATACAGTGTATATTTAAATGAAATCTAGGTAGCTTCAAAACCACCATTATTTTGAGAACTAGTTTCTATGGCAATGGAAAATAATTTCCGATCATCTTCCCTATGGCATTCCTTGAAGAACATTGGTGCATTCTACCAGGCAGGTTGCAAGCCATCAGGGATCTGATCAAACAATAGATGACAAGATCCTACATCCCACACCTGGGAATTTGCTCCACTTCAGAATAATGAAACCCTTTTGTGTTTCTGCACGCATATGTTTTCAAGGAACCAAAAGAAAGGGGAATTTGAAAACATTTCAATGAGAAGTGGAAATCACAGGATGGGTGAGCAAGGATGGGATAGTTCCAGGAAAGGCTCAAGCTGACCATGGAACTCTAAAAGGGACAGTTTCAAGAAGCAGGTTCTATACGATGCTTTTCACAGAAAGTTAGCATATATGCTTATTGAAAACATTTTTCTTCAACCAGCAAGGCTTCCAGAGAAACTAGAGAGAAGGACAGTCCTTGCCAGCAGGTTTACAGCCTAAAAAAAAAATTAATATAAAAGGAAATATATAGAAGGACTACGTAGAAGTAGTTGAGGAAGCATGGAGGCTGGTGGCTCTGGTCTTCCAGCAGATCCTGACTTCCCATGTCATCTCCTCCTGATGTTGCTTGGGGGAATGGTCTGCCCCAAACCCTTTTCTAGGAAAAAGGAGGAATCCCAGTTATTCATCTTTTCTGACCTCTTCACTATCCTGGTGTTCAAAGGGACCCCCAAAATGAAATAGATTAGCAATACTTTTTCCTCCAGACCTGAGACGAGGTGGAGAGCACATTCCACAAGGACAATTTTATTCGCTGAAGAGGAAAAACCATTTCATTATGAATTCAATTCCATCATTAAGAAGAGACTAGATGTTCACCTGTCTAAGATGGTATAGACTATAGGTTCTCCTGTTTGAGCAGGGGTCTGGACTAGAAGACCCCCCAAGGTCCCTTCCAGCTCTGTTCTGTTCTGTTCCATTCTGTTCCATTCCATATTCTATTCTATTCTATTCTATTCTATTCTATTTATTCCATTCCATATTCTATCCTATCCTATCCCATTCCATTCCATTCCCATTCCCATTCCATATTCTATTCCATATTCTATTCCATATTCTATTCCGTATTCTGTATTCTATTCCTGTTTCCAAGGGTAGTTTGGGGGGGGTGTATCACAGCTGCAAAACATCCTGTCATATGTTTATGAACCAAAAGTCCTCCAATATTGTAACTGATTTGGAAGCTGTTTCATGGGAACAGCAGGTCCACATTGTGAATGCCCACAAGCATTCACAATGCCCCCAAGGTCGAATACTTACAATCCTGAATTGTAACCTGTCCTTTTTTTTCTTCTTTCTACAGTGGTTCGACTTACAATCACTTGTTTAGCGACCGTATGAAGTTACAACAGCACTGGGAAAAGTGACTTATGATCATTTTTCACACTTACGACCATTACAGCACCCCCACAATCAAAATACCCGCTGCTTGGCAAACCAGTTCATATTTATGACGGCTGCTCTGTCCTGGGATCATGTGGATCCCCTTTTGTGACCTTCTGACCAGCAAAGTCAATGGGGAAGCCAGATTCACTTAACAACCGGGTCACTAACTTAACAAGTGCAGTGGTTCACTTAACAACTGTGGCAAGAAAGGTCGTAAAATGGAGCAAAACTCACTTAACAACTTTGGGCTCTGTGGTGGTCATAAGTCAAGGATTATCTGTACAGAACATTCTGCCAGGGGGTGGGGTGGATATCAGATGTCTTTGCTATGGAAAGGGGTGATGTAAAATGATTTTACAATTTGAGTTTTCAGTGCTCTTTATTCAGAGAGAAATTGCCCTCTTCTGGCACGCATTTTCTTTTTCTTTTTTTAAAGAAAAATCATGTTCTCAAAATAGAAATACTGATGAGAGAGGCTAGCAGCTTTTCCAAGTGTGATGAAGTTGGGTTTTTTTTTTTAAAAAAAGTCAGTCTCTCGTGATGGGCATTTGACGATGGCAACCGTTCGGTGGTTAGTTGAGCATGTCGAGTTGAGTTTAACTGTTGCTTTTTGAGAATGGTTTTCCACAAGGTCTCGATAGGAAGTCGGAGACGCGCAGAATGATTTAGCCTCGACGTATTTCCATCAGAAAGAGGTAAAATTCCACTGAGGAAAAAAATGCTGGCAGTTTGCTAGCAATAGTAAAAGTCTCCACCTCTTCCTAGGGAACATTCTGGATGGGGGAGCCAGGGAGTTGATGGAAATAGTGGTGGGAGGTTCAGAGGTCACTTCAAATAAAGCAACATGATGCATCGAGTGTCGAAATCCTTAGCAACAAGATTGTTAGGTTAAAAACCTATCGCTGTGTGCAGTGGTGGGATTCAAATATGTCAACAACCGGTTCTCTGTGTGGATACCGCTTCCAGAAGTCCATATATGGGCCTGGACAACAAAAAATTAGCTATCGGTTCTGCCGAAGTGGCACGAACACGCTGAATCCCACCACTGGTTGTGTGGTTCTTGGAATGGATATTGGGTTTTTTTCTTGTTAAATATACTGAGGAAAGATTCTTACACTCATCTGCCTCTCACTGGCTTAATTGCACAGTTCAGACTTCACCATTCACCTTAATGTTAGGTGTCATTTGAAGTTAGCGGGAAGCATCTTGCAAAGACTTCCTTTGAGCCCCAATGATTTTATGTATGGAACTAGTGAGATCCTGAAGTCTATTCCTTTCCATTGTATAAAAACACCTGTGCAAAGCAACAATCCAAAAGCAGACCAGAAGAAAACACTCTAGTTCAGTGTTTCTCAACCTGGACCAGTTTCTGAGGTGTGGACTTCAACTCCTAGAATTCCCCAGCCAATCCACTGTCCCAAATAGAAGTATTTCCTCTAAAGCAGGGGTAGGCAACCTTGGCTCTTTTATGACTTGTGGACTTCAACTCCCAGAATTCCTCAGAGAGCAAAGCTGGCTGAGGAATTCTGGGAGTTGAAGTCCACAAGTCATAAAAGAACCAAGGTTGCCTACCCCTGCTCTAAGGGAATACCCTAAATTCTCTGCATCCTAAACAGCATTCCTGTCTGGGTTGCCCAAACAGTTTTGTCTTGTCTGAACACATTTAGGTTACATGTAGTTTTCTCAATGAAAACTGCCTGTAGGTATTTGTTTCCCTGGGGTGATTTCAGACAATAACTCATAACACGTCCATACTTCATACTGTATTACTGTAGTCCTTGACTTACGGCCCCAATTAAGCCCAACATTTATGTCACTAAGCCAGAAATTTGTTAAGTGAGTTTTGCCCCGTTTTACAACTTTGCTTTGCCACATTTGTTAAGTTAATCACGGCAGTTCAATTAGTAACACGGTTGTTAAGTGAATCTGGCTTCCTCATTGTCTTTGCTTGTCAGAAGGTTGCAAAAGGGGGATCACGTGACCCCCCCTCCCAGGTCACTGCAACCGTCATAAATGTGAGTCAGTTGCCCAGCGTCTGAATTTGGATCACTTGAGCACTAGGATGCTGCAACGGTCTTAAGTATGAAAAATGGTCATGCGTTACTTTTTTCAGTGCTATTGTAACTTCGAAACGGTCACTAAACGAACTGTTGTAAGTCGAGGACTATCTGTAACCAGCCCTTCTGTTTCTTTTCTCCTTGCAGGACTGTCTTCTGCTGTCTTGGAAGTGGAAGTTGGACAAACGTCAGTGACAGTGATCCAAGGACAGCAGGCCATACTTCCCGTCTCGTACACATCCACCAGTGTCAGCGTACCCTTTGTCACCTGGCACCGGGAAAGACCCGGGGAACGTTTGCAGGTATGGCCTCACTTTGCCAAGACTGGAAAAAATCCAAGGTCTGCTCTTGTCTAGGGAGATGCTCAGTCATCCAGGTCACGGTTGTCCCAAAGAGGCTTTTTCACGAGTCAACTGGACTTTCTTGTTTTTCTTTGAAGACGTTTCTCTTCTCATCCAAGAAGCTTCTTCAGCTCTGACTGGATGGTGGGGAATGGAAGGATTTATACTCCTTGCAGACAGCTGGTCAAAAAAGAAAAGAAAGAATGCAAATGACCAGCTGTCTGCAAGGAGTATAAATCCTTCCATTCCCCACCATCCAGTCAGAGCTGAAGAAGCTTCTTGGATGAGAAGCGAAAAGTCTTCAAAGAAAAACAAAAAAGTCCAGTTGACTCGTGAAAAAGCATCTTTGGGGGAATGTCTGCTCTTTTTTTCTAGAAATGGGCAACTGATAGGCTCCTAAAAACAGTTTGAATGTTGAGTAGAGTTTAACAACCCAGTTGACTGATCAATGGCCCAGCACTACAGATAAGAAGTAAAGGTAGTGATTTGAAGGCTCCATCTGTCCGAAAGAGGCATTTGTACATTTCTTGAATGGATTGGTTTGAGTTATATGTATGTATTCCACAATAAGCATTTAAATGACCTCTTTCTTTTCATGTGGGCTCCAAATTATGTCCTTAATGGCCATAGCAATGAATCCCATGTGCCTGCGATGAGGCCCTGAAATCTTGGACTATATGGAGAAATTCTATGCCTGTGTGATGATCTGCATGTAACATCCCCCTTAGTCTCAATTGTGGTCATGATCGAGCACTACCTGCACTGTATCAGAAAGACCACTAGGGCTAGCAGAACCAGGTGGCAAGAATCACGATGACCACTAGAGGGCAGCAGACTACAAGGGATGTCTGTATTTCCTTGGTAGGAGTTACAGATAGTCTTTGACTTAACAATTCATTTAGTAACCGTTCAAAGTTACAACGGCACTGAAAAAAGTGACTTATGACCATATTTCACACTTAACAACTGTGGTAACGTCTCCATGGTCATGTGATCAAAATTCTGATGCTTGGCCATTGACTCATATTTATGACGGCTGCTGTGTCCTGGGATCATGGGGGGGATCCCCGTTGCGACCTTCTGACAATCAAAGTCAATGGGGAAGCCAGATTCACTTAGCCACAGTTTGACTAATTTAACAACTGCAGTGATTCACTTAACAACTGTGGCAGGAAAGGTTGTAAAATGGGGCAAACTCACTGAAGAATGTTTCACTTAGCAACAGAAATGTTGGGCTCAATTGTAGTCCTAAGTCAAGGACAAACCTGCATTTGGACTTTTGCAGCCCAGATCTCTTAACCCAGTTTACACCCCTGGGTCAACAACTCTTGCGAGTTGAACAACGTCAGAGCTGGATCACATAGCAAACTGCAGATGGAAAGATTTAAAATTGAAGGGAAAGTCTTTCTTAAAGACAAGCTGGTTTTTTTAATGTAAAAATAGATGACAGTAAATGCATCTCCTCCTCAAAAATTGATTAATACCATGCCAAGATAAATAAGCAGAATTATCACAGAGATGTCAGTACAGCTCACATATATAGAAAAATGTCCGTCGACTTAAGACTTTTCTCACATTTAGGTTTGGTTCACTGAAATCCTTAAAGTGATTCCGTGACCATTAAAGTCAGTCTAAAGTTAAGGCTGTTTAATTTTTTTTTTAAATCATTTTTACTTTATTTTTACTTTTTTTTTTTTTCCAGTTGGGATACATCCCAATTCTGTTAAGCTTCCAGACTCTGCATCTATCTCAGGAGTTCCCAACTGGGGGTGCTTGTACCCCCAGGGGTGCGAGATGATATTCCAGGGGGTGTGAAAACTTGGATTTAGAAGTTTCAAAATTATAGTGTATATGCATAATTCATTTTGAACTTTTGTAAGGTGTGCGAGACTATATCAGATGCGTTCTAGGGATGTGGCATATAGAAAAAGTTGGGAACCGCTGATCTAACTCAATGAAAAAAAAATCAACATTAAAAAAATCAAGAGGCTTATGCGAGTCCCCTGGACTCCAAGGCGATCAAACCGGTCAGGCTTGGAGATCAACCCTGACTGCTCTTTAGAAGACCAGATCCTGAAGTTGAAACTCAAATACTTTGGCCACCTAATGAGAAGGAAGGACTCACTGGAGAAGGGCCTAATGCTGGGAAAGATTGAGGGCAATAGAAGAAGGGGACGACAGAGAATGAGGTGGCTGGATGGAGTCACTGAAGCAGTAGGCGTGAGCTTACATGGACTCCAGAAGATGGTAGAGGACAGGAAGGCCTGGAGGAATGTTGTCCATGGGGTCGCGATGGGTCTGACACGACTTCGCAACTAACAACAAATATATATATAAATACGAGAGCTAAAAAGCGTGCTTGGACACCATCTAATTTATATGTCTTCATTTTAGAAGGGTATAGACTTAGGCAGCTGTGGACATTTCAGAAATCAACATTTTCTATTTATGGGGAAGATAAATTAGGGAATGCAATGCCACTATGATTTGAAGCTTATTGCTCAACAGTGAATCTGTTTCCCTTCAAATCTGGGTGGGCTTTTTTTGGGATAGGAGAGTATCCCCACTTTTGTATGCTCAGCTTGAGTGTTTCTTAGAGCACTTTGCAGCCTGTAACACATTTGGACCCCAAAGACTGGTGAAGGCAGAGAAAGCCAGCATTATCCCCCTGATGTTAAAGCTGGCTGAGTTGACATAAAATGGAAGCACGCTGCCAACAGATTCTGAAATTAAGAGCCTCTACATGCAAGTGGGAGTTGCACAATCGTCTTAAAAGTATTTTTGGAATATGAGGGCAGTCAGGGGCACGGAAGTGATGGCAGCATTGCTTTGGCACGGCCAGGCATTTTGCTCCATTAGGTGGAGAAGGGATAGGAGACTTTTTCTAAGGGACAAATTAAATGCATTCAGTTTTACGTGAGGTTAAGGAATATATAGGTGGTCCTTGACATACGGCTACAATTGAGTCTAAAATTTTCGTTGCTAGGCAAGGAAGTTGTTCAGGGAATTTTGCCCCCCTTTGCGACCTTTTTAGCCACCATTGTTAAGCGAATCACTGCAGTTGCTAAATTAGTCACACGGTTGTTAAGTGAATCTGGCTTCCCCATTGACTTTGCTTTATCAGAAGGTTGTCCAAGGTGATCACGTGGCCCCGGGACATTGCAACCGTCATAAATACTTGCCAGTTGCCAAGTGTTCGAATTTTGATCATGTGACCAGATCATAAGTGTGAAAAAACGGTCATGTCACTTTTTTTCAGTGCTGTTTTAACTTTGAATGGTCACTAAATGAAATGTTGAAGGTCGAGGGCTACCTGAATTTTACATTATTGTATTTCTCTCAAATTGACTGTATTTTTTCCCCAAATTATGGGGGGGCACCAAAAATCACACAGGCAAAATTCATAACGTTTGCCACGAAGCTGGCTGAAGTTAAGCTAAGAGTCTCCAGGGAGCATAAAAGGAGAGGTTAGGAAGGGCATGTAGATGCTTTGCCCACCTTATGTGATGCTCACGCACATAGCCGCAAGGGGCAGCCACCTCTTGTGTCACGCTGAAGCCTTGAACTGTTTGCTGCCGTTGCTATGCCGACAAAGCGTCATCCCTATGATGTGCTAGACTCATCATTGCTTCGTGTGTGGAATGAGCCATGGAAGCGGAAGAGGTGCTAAGTAACACTGACACCTTTGTGTCTCTTTGAAAAAGACAGGGAGGCGGGAAAGATGGCTGAGAGCCAGGATGAAGAATCCAGAGTTTTTCAGGAAAGCATGCTAAAGCAGGGTTCGTCAACCTTAGCAACTTTAAGATGGGTGGACTTCACTTCCCACACACATTCTGGAGCAAGTTTTCTCAACCTTGGCAAGTTCAAGTTGGGTGGAATTCCAAAATTCCCCCAGTCAGCATTGCTGGAATTCTGGGAATTGAAGTCCACACATCTTCAAGTTGGCAAGGTGGAGAAATACTGTGCTAGAGATTGCTTGGAATTTGATACCGCATTCAAGGGTCCTGACAGGAGGGGGATAGTAAATAGACAATAAATTGGGCACTACTATTATTTTAGTCAACACAGAAATCAGATTGACTATGTGCTCTGCAGCCAAAGATGGAGAAGCTCTATACAGTCAGTAAAAACAAGACCAGGAGCTGACTGTGGCTCAGATCATGAGCTTCTCGTTGCAAAATTTAGGCTTAAATTGAAGAAAGTAGGGTAAAGCACTAGGCCACTCAGGTATGAACTAAATCATATTCCTGATGAATATACAGTAGAGGTGACAAATAGATTTAAGGAATTAGATCTGTTAGACTAGAGTGCCTGAAGAACTATGGACGGAGGTTCGCAACATTGTACAAGAGGTAGCAACTAAAACCATCCCAAAGAAAAAGAAATGCAAGAAAGCAAAATGGCTGTCTGAGGAAGCTTTGCAAATAGCTGAGGAAAGAAGGGAAGTGAAAGGCAAAGGAGAAAGAGAAAGATACACCCAACTGAATGCAGAATTCCAGAGAATAGCTAGAAGAGATAAGAATACGACTTCGCAATTAACAACAACAACAAATTATTTTGAAGTTCTCCCATTTAAAAGTGTATGAACTCCTTCCACCTGCAACGTGTTGTTTATGTACAAGGGCATCCCTCCAGTCTGCATTCTTCTCCATTGCAAGTGTAAATCATAATTTCTATTTTCTGGAAGGACAGAAGTATAGCCATGGAGCTGATTCAGTCTATAAACCCATGTTTTCTCCTCCTCCAAATTAACTTGAGCAATCAGACGGAATGTTTTAAGAATCCTGCAGAATCTCTGGTTTTTCACACACATGTACCCCACTTCAGCTTTTGATTAATGCCCATTAGTTTTTGTTTGTAAAGGAGGCAGCCTCGCAGCAGATGTTCCTGATCTTCTATGAGAACGTTCATAAATTTCATTAGGCGTTGCTTTTCAAAACGTTTGTAGAATCCTATCGCCTATGGCTGGAGTAAAGATTTTGCGATAAGCAGGTCTCCACTCATTGGAGGTAGACAAGGTCAAGGACTTTCTTGGGACTTTGTGATCACAAAATCTTCCTCATTGCTCATTTTCAGGACGGGGTTTACATTTCTTCACAGCAGGTTTAGGATCTGGCTGCAATCCTTTTTTTTTTTCCAAAGAAATTTTATTATTTTCCATCATAAAAAAACAATCAAAAGCATAATAAACACAATAACAAGTAAACCCCCCCACCCACCCCCCCGGACTTCCCAAACCTAATCCCAGGATAATATTCATATATAAGTAAACAAATACTAATATCCCTAACTCCACAAAGTATCTTAATCTACAAAAAGGGATAAAAAGAATAAACAGAATAAAAAATAAATAAAATCTAAAAACCTAAGTTATATTCTACCACTCTATGCTTCCTTTGAATATAAACAATCCATCTGGCTGCAATCCTGTCATGGTTTTGCTACCTTCTCTGCAATCTTTCATCCCCCTCAATCAGGTCTCTGTAATTGTTGATTTTCAAATGCTTCATGGAGAAAGGGATCCTACGGGTGATGAAGGGGAATGAAGCATCTTTTGTTACCATGGCAACCGAGCTCTGCTAGAGCATCGAAGCCAACTTTCCCTCTGCTTTAAAGTCCCAGGGTGGCTCTAGTTCACTAAAATGCATGTCAAGACACAGATTCTGGGATGGATTCATTGGAACCTTTTTGGACCAGGAAGAGTTAGATTGGAACATCCCACCTGAAGGCAAAGGTGGGCTTCCTCTGTCACTAGCAGAAGACCAAAATGATGTCTTTGGACTCCAAAATGATGTCTTTGCTATTCTTGGGGAAGACTGATTGATAAAGGGGAAAGAAATGTCTGTATTAACTACTTTAAGATGATGGTAAAGACACAGGAGAAGAATCAGCAGGAGGAAAGAGATGAAAAAGGAGTCTTCCAGCCCCTATCCAGAACGTCTCTGTTTCAAAAATGGTATGAAAGAGGTTGATAGTTTATGCCAGTGTTGCTCAAACTCGGCAACTTTATGATGTGTGGGCCACACAGGTGAAAGAGCAGCCAATATTTGAGTACACAGAGAAAGAGGCCAAGTCATAAGGTGTTCCTCAATCTTGGCAACTTGAAGATGTCTGGATTTCAACCATGCTGTCTGGAGAATTCTGGGAGTTGAGGTCCAAGCAACTTAAAGCTGCCAAAATTTAAAACCATTTGGACTATTCTATGCATGCAATTTTATGCATCCCTCACAGGTGTATTCAGACAAGTTTCATGTTGTGTGCTGTGTTTCATATCAGCAAGCTGCTGTTTTAGCCAAAGCAATGAATCCTTTAATCTGCGTTGCAGATCCTGGCCTTTATGTATGACACAACGAAAGTGGAAGACCCCGATCTCAAGCAGCGCCTTGGATTTTTGTTCCGTATGCCTTTTCACAATGTCTCCCTTGTAATTAATAATACCAAAGAAATGGATTCCGGACAATATATGTGCACCGTGAACGTTCCGGACGACAGTACGGTGAAAGGAAGAAACATTGGACTTGTTAACCTCACCGTTCTAGGTAAATCAACTCTGGTTTTCTTCTACTTTGCAGAGGTTAGATGGGGAGGTGTGATCTTGGATCACCTAGAACATTTCATTTTCATGCAAGTAGTCTTTGGGTTATGATTGGTCGCTTGGCAATCGTTCAAAGTTAAATTGAACTTCTCACTTCCTTACCACCTGGTTCTGAAGTTCTGATGGATGCACTCTGCCTGTGGTCACGTGACTGAATTTTGGGCTCTCGGCAACCAGTTTGTGATCAATTGCAGCATCCCACACTCCCATGACTATGATTTACAATGTTTTTATTGTTCCGGTTTCCAGCAAAAACCAGCCCTTAGCATCAGTGGGTTCGGTTTATGACTGCTGGGTAAACTGACTTCAGTTTATGGCTCCCTTACCCCACAAAAAAGATCATAAAATTGGATCGGTCATGTGACGACCTGCTTTACAACCATCACGGCTTATAGCCATAATTGCAGGCTCAGTTAAGGGGGACCTGTACCGGCTTTGGATGCATCAGGAAAGATTGTTGCGGATCTTTCCATTTCTGCACCATACAGCTGAGCTTGGGAGTCTGACAGTTCATTCTTCAGCTCAGCCTTGTACCCTGCAGAGCTGCGTAGCAATTTGTAAGGAGCATCCAAGTTTCAGCTTGTGAGCTGCTGCAAAACAGTCCTGTCAGGTGCAAAAGATCAAAAGATCAGTAAGGCCACACTTGGAATACTGCATCCAGTTTTGGTCACCACGATGTAAAAAAGATGCTGAGACTCTAGAAAGAGTACAGAGAAGAACAACAAAGATGATTAGGGGACTGGAGGCCAAAGCATATAAGGAACAGTTGCTGGAATTGGGTATGTCTAGTTTAACGAAGAGAAGGACGAGGGGTGACATGATAGCAGTCTTCCAATATCTCAGGGGCTGCCACAAAGAAGAGGGAGTCAAGCTATTCTCTAAAAAGCACTGGAAGGCAGGACAAGAAGCAATGGGTGTAAACTAATCAAAGAGAGAAGCAACCTAGAACTAAAGAGAAATTTCCTGATAATTAGAACAATTAACCAGTGGAACAACCTGCCTCCAGAAGCGGTGAATGCTCCAACACTGGAAGTTTTTAAGAAGAGACTGGACAGCCATTTGTCTGAAATGGTATAGGGTTTCCTGCCTGAGCAGGGGGTTGGACTAGATGACCTCCAAGGTCCCTTCCAACTTTATTATTATTATTATTATTATTATTATTATTNGGGTCAATGGGATTCAAAGGAGGCTGGACTTTGCTTGTGACCACGTAGGGATTCTAGGCTGATTCCTCTTTTAACTCCACCTGCAAGTTCTGCCCCTTCTTCCCCAACAAGTCCCATGGGATAGAATCTAGAAGGAGAGATTCTCCTTCTTTGTGTTTTGCCCAAAGTGACCACTGAAGCTTCAGGAACCCTTTTCCTGCTGATATTTCAAGAAGAAACCTCCAGAGGGTCAAAGATAGAATGGGATCATTTCTGACCCTCCAATATTTTAATAGCACAAAGAAAGGTCAAAATCAAAAGTTGCCAGAGGTAACATTAACTACGACCTCCTTGATTCATCCATTAATATTTAAGATCCCTCCATATCTGGGGTTCTGCAACAGACTAACAACATCTCTCCCCCTTTGAAATCTGATGGATCCTAAACTGATTCTTTTTCCTGAGCTTTCAGTGGAACACCAGTGTTTTTTGTAGCCAGTAGATGACGCCATTTACTACCTTTTAAAGCACTGAATGGTTTTTGTATTTTGTTAATAATAAAAAAGAGCCCTTATTATTTTGCAGTCCCACCATCTCCACCAAAGTGTCAGATTCAAGGCAGCACCCAGGTTGGAGGCAACGTTACCATGTCCTGCAAATCTGCTTTTGGAAAACCAGTCCCAGTTTACCATTGGCACCAGGCTGAGCCCCGCTTCCAGGTTTTCTTTGCACCCACACAAGGTAGGAATCTTTATTCTGGGCATTTTAATCCAGCACAGTTGGACAGGGCAGGTTGGACCCGGCTGTGGTTTAGGGTGAAGAGGGGAGAAGACCCCTATGTATCTTTTGTGCCAGCTTTCCAAAACAAAAGAGAAGATTAGTCAGGAACGGAGTTTGATTCAGTTCAATGTGTGCACAGAATTTAATCCAAAATTGTAGGTTGGATTTACTCTCTGGATATTTCATATTCTTCCTCATTCTTCTTTAGAATTACCATTTGATGAAAATGTCTGAATGAGCTCCAGGGGAGGAAGCAAACTTTTGGGTGACACTTTAAGCTCAAGTTCTACCTCTGTTTCTCAACGTTAACAACCTGAAGACGTGTGGACTTCAACTCCCAGCATTACCCAGACCAGCACGGAACTCTGGGAGTTGAAGTCCACGTGTCTCCAGGTTGACAAGGTTGAGAAACATTGTTCCACACCCTGGCTTCATGTAATGGGAAAACTTGATTTAGGTGCTCAGCCAGGTCACTGAGACAAAGTTAATGGGGTCCTCTTGCAATACACAGTTCTGTTGGTCTGAAGCTTGCTTGGCATTTTTTTCCCCAGACACAAAGAAGGGGCTCCTGATGCTGACCAATCTTACTATCGAGATGTCTGGGGTGTATCTCTGCAACTCCTCCAGCATAGCTGGCCATTCCAGCTGCACACTCAGTCTGGAAGTACAACCACGTGAGTCTCATTTTCACAGCCCACAACCTCCTTCTACTCTGCTTCCATTTACATGGGAACACTTAGTAGCAAGAGAAGGCCGACATAAATAAAACATCACCATTGCAATCAGTTGTATCTTTTAAGAACGGTCTCCCGTTTCCATTTGAAATAAACACCTTCAGTATCAATTTTTAGGAAAATGTGGGGTGTTTCCTTGGCTACTGTATTGAAGGTCTCCATTTAGCTAACAATCTGTAGTGGTGACTGTTCCATCTGGATTAAAAAAAATGTTGTGCATATTCCTGGTAAAAAGTCTCCCTTGTCCTGACAATCTGTTCATGCATCGACAGCCAATGTGAGGCAGTGATCAGGGCATCCTTCCTCCATCTGCCTGCTCTCCAGGTCTCTCCGACAGAAATATGGGCTTGACCTCCCAGGATTCCCCAGTCAACAGCACTGCTAAGAATTGTCAGCGTTGGTCCACAGAGAGCATGTCAGACAGGGAAAACCAAGGGGAGCCATCTTGTTTGTTCATGAAATGGTTTGAGCAGTCAATATCTCCCAATCTAGCCTATTTCACAGCTGCTTATGATAACCATGGGAAGAACAGTCCTGTATACAGCAGGGGTCCCCAACTCCTGGGCTGCAACCCAGTACCGGTCCTTGTGCATTCTGAACCGGGCCACAGAAGTGGCGGGCGAGTGCTTGCACACATGCACATCCCCACTCGCGCAATCAGGTGCGCATGTGTGCACTCACTTGCCCGCCACTCACAAAGAACCGTCCCCTCTCCCCCTGCCCCGCCAGTCCACAATACATATGTGTATGTATGTATATGTATATTTATATATATATATCTTATCTGTTGGGTGAGGCACCCGGTCTACCAAACATAAATCAGTCTGTTCTGCGTTTCGCTCCAATCTAGGAGCATGTTTTGCAGGCAGACGTCATATACTGTGAACACTATAAATTCAAAATTTTGTGGCTGGCAAAGAGTTAGTGGGACTTGAAATAGCTAGACTAGTCTCCCACTAACTCTTTGCCAGCCACAAAATTTTGAATATGTATATATGTATATACTGTATATATCAATATCATCTATTTATATATCTATGTGTCATGTCTGTCTGCATATCTATATATTATATCTATCTATCAATATCTATATATCAATATCTATATCTATATATCTATATCTATGTCTGTCTGTCTGCCTGCCTGCCTGTCTGTCTATCTATCTATCTATCTATCTATCTATCTATCTATCTATCTATCTATCTATCTATCTATCTATCTATCTATCTATCTATCTATCTATCTATCTACTTCCTTTTTGGAAGGATTTGATATCAATGATATATAAATACATGTTCAATACAGAGATTGGATCCAAAATTAATTTGATGTAAAGACATTAAAGGGATTTTAATCAGGATTAACTGGACCCAAACATCTAGTGGAGCAGGAGGTTGGGAAAGGCTGAGAGGGATAGGATTGTTGAAATCTCGTTCCCATCTCCATTACAAAAACAAAAAACAACCCCCCCCCAAACATCTTCATTGTGGTTCCTTTTGCAGCGTTCAATACAGCGGTGGTGGCTGGTGCAGTCGTGGGAACCCTCATTGGACTTGGCCTGATCATATTTTTTACACTTCAGATGTTTATCTACAAAAAGAAAAAGAAGGAAGCCCAAGAGGATGTAGCCAATGAAATCAAGCAAGTATCGTAGAAATCTGGCACAGCTGATGGTGGAGTTAGAAAAGAGTGTCTACCACTTGTTGGGTTCCAAGTCCATCAGCCTGACACTGTCTATAGCAGGGGTCCCCAACCCTCAGTCCGTGAACCAGTACTGGGCCACGGCATGGCAGCAACCGGTCCACACAAGCAAGCAAAGCGCCATCTGTGGGATGCAGGCAGCACACAAAACCACGCCCCCTCCAGCCCACGGAAAAACCTCTCTCCACGGAAGCGGTCCCTGGTGCCCAAAAGGTTGAGGACCTGTGCTCTATAGGCAATGACCAGAAATGGTAGGAATTGTCACCTGGAGCATCTGAAGGAAATGTCTCCACTAGAGACCCCAAACATATTTGGGTCATCTTCAGTATTTCCTGCTGACTATGTGGTCCTTAATGCTCTCTGAGTTTGGCTGTTTTCTTATAGATGTTTTATTAATGAACTAAGTAACATTATAAGCTCTATGCCAAGTAGCACTGATAATGTTACCTACTTGGGTAATAAAACGTCTGCAAGAAAATAGCCAAGCTCAGAGAGCACCAAGGACCCCACAGTTCAACCTTTTGTTGGTTCTTCCTGACTAGTTTCAACGGGAAAACACTTTGTAATGTTAAAATCACTGTACAACAGTGGAATGCTTAATCTATAGAGGTTGTGGGTTCTCTTTCTCTATCATGGATGATTGGATTAGTTTTGTAGTAAACCGATAGGAATATAAACCCTTACAAGACAAAAACCCAGTTAGATACTCTGTTTGATGGAAAAAACAGTTTAAATACCCACCCTTAAAAAAAATAAAGTATGGAAATGGAATATTGGAAAAATAACTTCATTGATTCCTATTTTTCTTTCCATTTATTACTTCCTTCCCCGCTGCAGGGAAGATGCTGTAGCTCCCAAGACACTCTCCTGGGTGAAAAATTCCTGCACTGATGGACTCTCCAAAAATGGAACACTGTCATCCATGAACACAACCCGGGATCAGAAATTATATCTGGTCCGCCCCCCCTCGGACACTGCCTCCATCACCACTGCTGCAGGAAGCATGGTGGGCTTCAAGGGCCCTTTCAGCGACCCCAGAAATGGGACTCTCACGCCGACGCCCAGCCTTTCCAGCCAATCGCTGCCCCTCTATTTTCCACCAGTGATTAACGGGGTCCAGTGCCATCATGCCAATGTGCCCATCCACAGGAATAACCTCCACCGGACAAACAGGGCTCAGCCACAGGCCCCCCAGCAGCAGGAGCCCCCTGTCCCCACTACTCAAGGGCTAACGGCCTCCACTCTGAATCGTATGGGAGCAGTGCCTGTCATGGTCCCTGCTCAGAGCCAGGCAGGGTCTTTGGTGTAAATGTGCTGTAACTCCATAGCTCTGCGTGCGGCTATCAGTTTGACTCATCACAAGCATTGACGAGAGACAGGCGTGCATTGTGCTGCTTCGCCAGCCTGTCCGCAGAGGCCCAGGGTCTGTGTGTGGGGTGGGGCTTGGATTTGTTCTTCAAGTGACCAAATGTCAAGACTTTGCCATAAGTGAGACCTTATTGGGACTTCTGAAATGGACTTCTTTTTTGGGGAGGTAACCAGAAGAGCTTCTGTTTATCTGTCCAGTCTTATTCTTCTTGGTGCCCCAGCCCCATTCCATCTTCCCTGGGAATCTACCTAACAGAGACTAGGTTTAACTGGATAAAAAAGAAAGTTTGTTCTCTAACATGACTCTTAACGTTGAGGGAGAGAGGCAGGCTGTGGTTTACTCTCTTGGCTTAGAATAAGAGAAGGAGGTAGATCTGAAATCTGTAAGCAAAATGGGCCATTCTGTCTACTCCAATCCTTTTCCAGAACTAGCCCACACAAAAGGAAACCTTTCAGACACTTAGGAAGGGAAGGTAAAGGTAACTGAAACCTACCTGACTCCATGTCGGAAGTCTATACACTCTAGAAATCTGCACAAACCAAAAAGGTGATAGAATCTCAGCTGCCATATTTCACTCCCTCCAGGTAGACAATGTTTATCAGCAATGGGTAGAGCTGCAGCCAAGGTGGTACTGATTTTCTTGTGTTTCTTGCCTCCTCCGTCCATCTTTCCCAGAAGAAACTAAAGGACAGTTCAGTCCCACTGTTGGTTGGGCTAATGGCAATTCTTGAAATCAGTTCAAAGGTCGCTCATAAACCCTTCGGCTGCCTCTTGATTTTAGATCACTACAGTATGTTAGAGGTGTGCAACTCTTTGAAGACCCAGCCTGTCTGATGAAGCCACTATATATTAAATTTGAAGAAAATATCTTTTAAATTGAATTTATGGAATTCATGAAATATCAATGGTGTGAGGAATGAATTAATGCAATTATTCCAGATTTCTGTAATAAGCCTTAACATGACAACTTCAAAGTTTGGCACTTGTGAAAGCCCATCCAAGATTTTATGAGATTTTCCTGCACTTATTGGGCACTAAATTGGGCACATGGTATCAATGCCCAGTGAAATAAGTTTGGTACAAAATAAATGCAGCCCTAATCAAGAGGTTATCTTCTACAGTGGATGCAACTAGCAATGTAATATCCTTTTTCCTGAAATGGTATCCTAGATTATTTCATTTGACAACCTTATGGACAAGATAAATTTAGCTCAGGATGGAACTATTTGGATAGATCAAGTGCCATGAAGTTGTCAAGGCTGTATCCTAAAGGCAAAAAGAGACCAAAAGTATTGATGTTCACCTGAAGATGTTTGGAAATGGTTTCTGATAGGAATAAGTTAAGCAGAATATATGAAGCAGATAATAATTTGATGGGTCATCACATTTTCGCACTTGGTGATTTTGAAACTGAAAAGTGGATGCCACCTTTAAGATATAAATCTGAACAGTAGCTTTGCAACAGAAATTCATTTTTATAGGACCAGAAAATGCTTTCCTAAGGCAACATATCACTTTAATTCAAGCTAACAATATAATTCAGCATTGTCAAGATGGCACAGTCCTTATGAAGCTGATGACACACTGATCTAGAGAGGTTTTATGCCAGGACTATCTATCTCACCGCTCTTGTCTGAAAATTTGCTGGATTTCTTTTGTTTCATAGCATCCTTACAAGCTCACTTTTGGAAGCAGTGGCCCTCTTCCAGTTAATGTAGGCTATATAACTCACAGAAATACAGATGTAGAATATGCTTTTCAGGAAAGGCTCACAAACCCAAGGAAGGCTAGAAGGCAGGTCCCAGTTGAAGTAGGATTCTGCTGATTTTGGGTACAAGTGACCGCAATTGAGACTGGAACATCCTTTGCTAAGTGAGGCAGTTGTTAAGTGAATTTCATTCAATTTTATGACCTTTTTTGGCCATGGTTGTTAAATGAATCACCTTGGTTATTAAGTAAATCACACAATGGTTAAGCGAATCTTGGCTTCTCCCATTGACTTTGCATGTTGGAAGGTCTAAAATGCAGATCACATGACCCTGGGATTCTGCAACTCTCATAAATGCATGCTGGTTGCCAAGCACCCAAATTTTGATCACATGACCATGGGGATGATCACAGACATGACACTAAAGGAAAAAAAAGAGATGGGCAGCGAAGAGGAAGCTATTAGTGGAGTTGCGTCTTTTCTGCTTATTGGAGGGATCAGATCTGGGCTTCAAAAATCCAGACATGACCATGGAGATGCTACAGCGGTTGTGGGCATCAGGGCCAGTTGCAAGTCACTTTTTTCAGTAACTTTGAATAGCCACACACAAACAAAAATGGTTGCAAATCAAGGACTACTTGTAGTCATCCATGTAGCTTTACTACCAGCAATACAAGATTGATTTGAAATTGCTTTCTTCAAGGATGATGGTTCTTTGATTTCCAACTTGTTGGTCTAGGCCAGGGGTCTTCAAACTTGGCAACTTTAAGACTTGTGGACTTCAACTCCCAGAAGTCCACAAGTCTTAAAGTTGCCAAGTTTGAAGACCCCTGGTCTAGGCTATAGAGGCTGCCTTGCGTTCTCTGGAGGTGTCCCTCACCCAAACAAAGCCACTCCGTTGCTCTAAATCAGGGGTGTCCAACCTTAGCAACTTTTAAGACTTGTGGACTTCAAGTCCCAGAATTCCACAACCAGCCATTCTAAGATTGGTCATCCCTGCTCTAAATGAGCAGGCTGTTCTCGTCTAGGCAAAATGTCTGTCTGTTTTGGATCCAAAACCTATTAGTTTGTTTTTTTTAAAAAAATAAACTTAGAATAAATGAAATCCCCTTTATTACTGTTGTGGTAGGACCTTCACACCTGCAGGGGTGATTCTGGAAAATACGCTTTTCTTCCGATTTGTGTCCTACTGTTCCTTAGTGATATACACAGGAACTCTACTCAGATATTCTGTATTAGCATTTTTGAAACTTGGCAACTTTAAAATGTGTGGACTTCAACTCCCAGAATTGTCAACATGTAAGTTCAAAAGCATAGCTCTACTTGCTCTCTTGCTGTTAAGGCCGAATGCTGCCTCAGGTCTATCAAAATATTACATCTTCCATAACTCTTAAGAATATGTCTTGTAATATTTTAGAACAACTTTCTATCAGGCCTCTTAAACCGACTGTTTTAAAGGACACCTTTTGCATCTTAATATATATTGTGCAATTATGTTTATTCAATGGACAAATTCCTATATTTCTTTTTTCTTTTTTTTTTATAAATGTAGATGGAGTAAATAATTTATACTTCTAGATATTAACAGGTCTGTGAATCTGGACTGGAGTCCTCTAACCATTTTCATGCTAGCTATTTTTATTTTTCAATGGCAATAAGATCCTTCTGTTGTGTGGGAAGGTAGGGATACACTGAAGAATTTTTATGTACAGTTTTGAAATGTATTATTTTTCATAAACAATCATTAAAAGTATTTGTTTTTATATCAACTAAAACCTGCCGTAGTAAGGCAGTTTGCATGGGACTTGCCTGTGTGTGTGTGTGGAAAGGGGCATGCATCGAAGTACACTTATTCCAGCTTTCCTTTATTTTCCGACTGAACTAAAGTTCCAGGTTTCTTAATTGTTTTCTTTTTACAGCAGGAATTAAAATAATATGAAACAATATAGGAATGAAGAATAGAAGCAAATAGAAACGCAAGGTTAAAAAGAAATAAACTCAACAGCCCTAAACAAAAATAAATTAAAATAAGGTTTGCTTTCAGAAGTTGTGAATGCCCATCATTAGAAGCTTTTAAGAAGAAACTGAACAACCATTTGTTTGGAATAATATAGGGTCTCTTGCTTGAGCAGGGGGTTGGACCAGAAGATCTTGGTAAGGCCACACTTGGAATACTGCATCCAGTTTTGGTCACCACGATGTAAAAAAGATGTTGAGACTCTAGAAAGAGTACAGAGAAGAGCAACAAAGATGATTAGGGAGCTGGAGGCTAAAACATATAAGGGACAGTTGCTGGAATTGGGTATGTCTAGTTTAATGAAGAGAAGGACTAGGGGGGACAGGATAGCAGTGTTCCAATATCTCAAGGGCTGCCCCCAAGAAGAGGGAGTCAAGCTGTTCTACAAAGCGCCTGAAGGCAGGACAAGAAGCAATGGATGGAAACTAATCAAGGAGAGAAGCAACCTAGAACTAAGGAGAAACTTCCTGACAGAACAATTAACCAGTGGAACAACCTGCCTCCAGAAGCTGTGAATGCTCCAACACTGGAAGTTTTTAAGAAGAGACTGGACAGCCATTTGTCCGAAATGGTATAGGGTTTCCTGCCTGAGCAGGGTTTGGACTAGATGACCTCCAAGGTCCCTTCCAACTATTATTATTATTATCAGTAGTAGTAGTAGTATTAGTAGTATTAGTAGTATTAGTAGTATTGTTGTTATTGTTATTATCTCCAAGGTCCCTTCCAACTCTGTTATTCTGTTAAACAAGAACAATAATGTTGCATTCTCAAAACAAAATTTGGTATTGGTGAATTCCATGCCTGGCAAAATATAGTGCAGCTAATGTAAGGCCCTGATTTAACCCAGGATAATAGGTGGGTTAAAGGTATTTGACAAAGGGCGGTTGCAGTGTTCTAATGAAGTTATCTGGAAAAATTGTTTGCTTGGCGGGCGTTTGTTTCTTCCAGTAGCTTAGTTAATGATTTCTCAGAGTGATGTTTGTATTTTGTAGAAGGAAACCATGTCATTGACTCTATGATTTCAGTATATAGGTAGACATTTACACATACATGTTTGTATTTAAAGCCCAGCTAGATCACCGTGGAGCGTTTCTGAAAGCCATTGATATACAAAAACTAGACACATTTATTTTCAGATACATGGAAATGGGTCATAATTAAATACAGCCTAAGGGGATTTTTTTTCCCACTGCACTTTATACAGGTTTAGCTGACCATCTTATAACATACTCTGGGTGGCTCTCAATCGAAAATTAAAATAGCATAAAAACACATTAGAACTATTGAAACCAAACACGTACAAACGAAAACTCGGCGCCAATCAAAGTTCTAATGTGCAATTATCTAGTCTTCTCCCAGTGCTTGGGGGGGGGGGGGAAGTCAGATCTTCAAAGCCTTACAGAAGATTAAAAGGCTGGAGGCTGGCTGAATTTCAGGGGGCAGCGTATTCTATAGGGGCTGCTACGGAAAAGGCCACAGAAAAGTCACACTTCCTAGCTCCCATAAGATGACAATATTTAGCAGAAGAAACTAGGAGGGTGTGCCCACCCTATCTGACCCAGTAGGACAGGTAGATGTCCTTTAGGAAAGATAACCTGGCCCCGTGTCTTTAAACAAACAAATAGCAATAGCACTTAGACTTATATACCGCTTCACAGTGCTTTATATCTTCTCTAAGCAGTTTACAGAGTCAGCCTATTGTCCCCAATAATCTGGGTCCTCATTTTACCAACCTCAGAAGGATGGAAGGCTAAGTCAACCTTGAGACGATCAGAATCGAACTGCTGGCAGTCAGCAGAATTACCCTGCAATACTGCATTCTAACCACTGCACCACCACGGCTCAAATCCAAATGCAAAGCAAATTAAAATGCAAAACGTTGCAGTTCCTTATTATCCCGCATTGGAAAAGCCCCAGGACAAAGACCAAGACATTATTGGCATTTGGCTTTTGAAATATAGATACCAAATAAGGAAGGCACAAGAGTGATAATGCTAGTTGTGAGAACCAGTTTTGAGTAGCAGTGTGTGCAAGGTATGAGAAGGCACACCGGGTTAACCTTCCATATCACAAGCAGCTTTGTGCTGTAGCATGATTCAGCCTGGCCATAATTGTTTGCTCTCACTTCCTTTCAAGATAAAGAA